TCCGTAAGTCCCTTCCGTCAGTCAGGACTTAGAAAATATTTCAGCTTCCAAAAATCCAGCTTCTCTGAAGCATACGACGGACCAGCAGTACAGACCGTAGATCGATCTACGGTCCGTCAATCCCCTCCGTAGCTCCATACTTAGAATCTTCATAAATCATGTACTGGAACCCTCATAGTATCAATCTACGGATACACAGTACCGTCCGTAGATCCATCTACGGACCGTCAATGGACACCGTGGTTCCACACTTGGTCAGATTTCCCTGATTTGTCCTCAATACCATGCCTGCTGATCTACGGTCATCACCTACGGACCGTGAATGGACCTACGGTCCGTAGATCACCTCCGTGAATGCCCTGTTTCTGCATTTCTTTCAGCTGTCTCTATACTTCCGCGCCTGAACATCTTTCCTGCAAAACATGATAAAAACACATAAAAACCAATATAAAAAGGCCCTAGACACACACAACTGGTAAGTGAAATGTATTAGAAATACCGTAAACTCACGGTATATCACTACTCTTGTGGAGTGTGAGTGTATTGAAGGTAGGGATGGGAGAAAGAGCATAGTGTCAGAACTTTTAACGATGCATGAACAGTTGAAATTTGAACTAGAAGTCATGAACGTCACTCTCACAAACAAAGAAGCTGAGATCGCTTGTTTGAATGCAAAGCTTCAACAATCTCTGACTAAGGGGCCAGATGGAGCTAAGGTAGATACTCTAAGGGATGAGACAAGAGCACTGACAGCCAAAAACACTAAATTGCAGGAGAAGCTCCTAAAAAGCCATGAAGAGGCTGCTGTTTGTCTGTTGTTTGTTCTCAAATCCTTAACCTCTAAATCCTCCTCCTCTTAATTTCCTATCTCCAGACCTAATTTCCCTTTTCTTTTTTTCTCTTTCGTCTGTAACTATGTGGCCTTGAATGTTTTCTTTCTATGTTAAATGAAGTATGATCTTGGTTCTACTGACTGTCTCTGCGGTTCTTTTTGCTTGGGTTAATGCATATATTTTTTGTGATGAAAAAGGAGGAAATTATTATTGGATTTGACCTTGTTGATATGGGGGACTGTTTCTGTTATAGTCTTGTCGAGGGACCTGGTTTGTATATGATAATATAGGAACTGGTAAAAGGGGGAGTGATGAAACAAAGGGATAAAATTTGTTGAAGAAGGTTGAATATTAGTTTATCATCATCAAAGAGGGGAAAAATTGTTATTTAAAGTTGTGTCTAGGTATCTGAAGCTTTGATGATTGAAAACAAACTTTGGACTTGATCCCAGAAGAAGCTGAGATTTCAGTACAAGAAAAATTGCAGATGTCCAAAAAGCTTGCAACTTTGCAGCAGATGTCCAAAAAGCTTGCAACTTTGCAATATCTATTGTGATTGGTGTGCATCTCCCACAACCGAGCAGGCCCCACCCAATAGGAGTGCTTTGTGTGTTTGTGCCTATCTTATAATATATTCATTCTCCTTTGACAGAAAACAAGCTTTTTGAAATCAGAAATTTCACAAGAAAAAGCAATTCTCTCAAGGAATTATTTCTCGAAGAACAACAAGGGACTTGATAGAGTTAGCATTGTTCGTTGTTGTTAGAGTGTATTTTTTCAGTGTTTCATCTTGTATGATCTATTCCTAATCTATAAAGGAATGAGATCCTTTGAAGCTCTTGTTGAGCTTTCTGATTTCTAGCTAGAGTTAGCTATGTCGAGTTGTTGAAGTCTATATCATGTAGAGTTAGTTGGTGTAGTGGCCACTGAGTGGTTTCTTAGTGCAGTAGAGTTGCTGCTTGTTTTCTTCTCTTATATTTGAGATCTGAGTGGGTGGTTAGGGTTAGCCTTTTTGGGTTTTTGAAGTCTAGATCAACTACAATTGATTGGTTTAGTGGGCAATATAGTTATTGCTTTGTTTCCCTTGTAGTAGAGTTGCTACAGTAAGGGGGAAGGGATTAAGAGTTTAATTCCTAGGTTACAAGAGTTTGTAATCTGAAGTTTTGCTCCGTTTTGAGTGAAATGATGTTTGGGTTGAAATCCTGGTGAAACAAGTCATGGTTTTCTCGTCCCTTGAGTAAGGGGTATCCATGTAAAATCCTTGTGTCCGTTTTGCCTTGAATTATTTACATTCTGCTCTTATTTTTTGTTAAGGGACCTGGTCCAGTGACCATTAGTGGACGCATACATTTTATCTACCTAAACTGTCTAAGAAAATATTGTAATAAAGGATTTTCCTTGAAAATATGACCGAACATCGATCAAATTTTATATAGTAAGCTATACTTGGAGTTAATAAATTTATGTGTACACTATGTTCAACATATCACCTACTTTAACATTTTCATTAGTATTGTTGGGAACCGCAGTAACAACCTTATCTACTCTAATTATTTCTAGAGTCTTCTCAAGATACTTTGAAAAAGACTATACATTAATGCCACATTATAATAACGTTTCAATAATTTCAACCATCTCTGATCTTGTCACATTGAATTATCAAATTTTGGTTTTTTAAGTCTAGTCCATGCTGGCGGTCCCTCTTGTTTAGTCAAATGAAAGATCGATGTCATTGAAATTATATAGTTTAATAGTATTATAAAAATACACACAAAAATAGAAAAATCGGTTTCTTCTTATTTCTTTAGGGAGTAAATAAGTTTTAAAAATTGAGTATATATAGAAGAGAGAATTTAAACAAAAGAATCCAGATTATAAAATCTAATAAACTCATTTATCTAAAACTGAAAAAATAAAGTAATACAACAAATGTTCCAAAGCTTGTTTGTGTTTAATTTGATTGTAGATATAAATTTGGTAACAATACTAACTTCATAAACAATATAATTAATGTGATCGATTGTGAACAAAAATAGTTTTGGAAGTAAATTGAATGCATCATGATCATAATGTTATTGTTAAACAAATTGCCTAATTCTTGGTGCACTCACAATATTGTCATTTGCAAACACCCCTAACCTTCTCTTAATATGAACTATCCTACTCATATTATAAATATCTTTTTTCTTCCTGTTTAAATTAAATTTGAATTAATGAATGTAAAAAAGAGTAATTTGAATTAGAATAAACAATAAGAAAAAAAGGATAAAGATTGTAGTTGTATTAATTGGATGATAAGAAATATAATGTGGTAATTATGTTTTGTCAGGAGTTAGAGTTGAAGGAATCTTACGACAAGCAGCAGATGTTGAAAATGTGGAACGTCGGATACGAGAATATGAACGCGGTTTGTTTACTGCTATTTTCTTTCTTCTCTCATTTTATATTATTGATGTAATCAAAATAGCATAACATTCCCTAGCTTGGATTGAAGAAAGTTGTTAGATGCATAACATTTTCATGTTTTCACCTTTAATTTGGCATATAATATCACATTCCCTGACACAAGCTACTTCATCTTCTTTCAATAAAAATCTTGTTTCAATTTCCTAGGCAAGATTCTGGTTCAATGTTTGTTGTGAATACTCCAACAAACAATCATAGAGAATTCAACAGGCATGGCCAAAAGCTTGTTCAATCATCCTCATGGCATGGGGTTGGACACTGCTATAAAATGTACATAGGCATATCTATGCATAGTATTCATAGCATAATCATAGGTAGAGATATTAGAGATCTTAGAAATATTTAGGGATCTTTTCTAATTGTGTTTCCTTATATAGATTTACTTGTACACCGACAATTAGCTCTTATTCTTGGAATAATACAACAAGGAAATTGATCCATTGACAATGTATTTGTCACGATATAAAATCGGACCATGATAGCACCTAACATTAGATCCCCAGTAGGCAAGCCAAAATCCAAACAACAAGCCATAAGTTAAGACTAGAATATAACAATGCAAAAGAAAAATAGAAATAGAATAGGTCCATAGCATAGATATGTACATAACGGTACAAAATTTACAATAAAGCTCAAAAGTGACCAAGAAAGACGAATATACATAAGAACCAAATCTCGAACCTGGTGTCACTAGTACAAGAGCGTCTAAGTACAGAAAGGCTAAGTTGTGCGGACTATTCACTTTCGATGCCGCACCCGTGTCAGATTCCCCAAAAATGCACTACTTTTGGCGAATCTGACATGCACCTCTTGACATTTTTGAAGAGTCCAAGCAACATAGCAGAAATGAACTATATCCAAAAGATCTGTCTAATCAAAACACAAAATACATAGGCTGTATAAAACAGGGAAAGCGGCAAGTCTCCAGACGCCAAGAGCTCACCACGATCCAATAAGCAACATCCACGAGAGATCATAAATCAGTGAGGGTGGCTCGTACTAGGCGTTGCATAAAAAAAAGATGCAGAAGTGCAATATGGGTATCAACTGAAATGAAATTCACTTGATCATTTTGTTTTTTTTAACTCAGGGAAAAGTGAGTTTTCTCCAGATGAGGATGCACATGTTATTGGTGATTGTGTCAAGGTATACTATGTTAAACACAAGTACTATTAAGCTAGATGTTTGTCATGATTTTCTTCTCTAATTTCTATCTTATCTTCAGTACATTTTGCGGGAGTTACCATCATCTCCAGTTCCTGCGTCTTGCTGCAATGCCCTCTTGGAAGCATTTCGTATATTTTTATCTCATATCTTATACAAGAAAAAGAAATGTTTTTTCATGCTCCATCCATTATATTTTATATATTTTTTTGACTAGGCCTTAAAATGCTAATCATATATATTTGTGATAGTGGAAGAAATTACAAAAGTGAGAAAGTTAGCTCATTGAGAAAACATCATATACAACTTTTCAATAATTTAATTAATTTGAATTCTTGGAAGCTGTAAAAGTTGTATAAGGATTGAATGGTGTCAAGCCTTTTAGACATTTGAATTAAAGTGTACTCTTCCTAATAGATAAAGATTTTCAATGAGATAGTGCATACTTTAACATGGTACAGAGAAAGCAAGGTGAAGTGTCTAATTTTATCGCCACCATTATTAATTAAAAAAATATCCATGTGCTTGCCTCATTGAAAAGAATCAAGCTTGCATGTGACTGGCATGTTGAAGTGATAACTAAGTAAATACAATTTCTCTTTGTAATAACTTAAGTTTTTTTTTAGGATAACAAGCTTCAACAATTCCAAAATAAAAGTGTCATATAAATTAAGACTTGTATATACAAGTATTTGACTACTATCTAGGATTATTGTAAAGGTTACACATTAAAATACTTTATTCATTGAATATAATGACACGATTGATCGAGTTCTTCAATTGGAATCTTTGCATCACATTGTGTTAGAGATATAATTAAGTAAATTAGAGTGTGCTATCTCAATAGCTTAAGCATTTAGTTGAGAAAGTCACACACTTCAACATGTCATTAGAGCAGACAGAGGTCCTAAGTTCGAGTCTCACAATCACCCAATATTAAAAATTATTTCTATGTGTTTGACTGATGAAAAAGAATCAAGGTGAGGGGAATATTAGAGATATTATTAATAAAATTAAAGTGTGCTCTCACTAACGTTTAAGTTTTTAGATGAGATGATCAACACTTGAACAAAATGTGTAGATATTTATGGACCATAGATCTTTTGATGTAGACCACCATGACATCAAGTGTTAATTCTATGTAATGCATTATTTTCAGTCTAAGTTTGCTATGGGGATAATGTTTAGTAATTTTCTTGTTTTCCACTGCCTAAATAAAACTTATTCTTTTAAAATTGTTCTGAAAATGTATGAACTTAACGTCAACACATTCTTTTGAAGCCTTTTCGTTTAACATATTTTTCTTCACCAACATTAAACATAGTGCCAAGGAAGTAAACAACCTATAAAACCGAAACCTATAAATGATATGAATGGAGTAAGAAAGAGGTGAAAAACAGACATTGTCATGTTAAATGTTCATATCGATCTTCAGGTTGGTGCTGATCTTACTGGAGATTTATAAAGGGCATGTCTTAGGCATTTCACACAAGAAATATACTAATTACTATACTCTGTAAGCCCCAACCGTCTCATAATAAGTCAGTATAACGTTTCAAATAAAACCTTTTTTTCTTGATAATAACTTTATCCTTGATTGAATGTATGTTGGAGTATGTTGACAATTTATTTTGTGGCCTTCTTTCTGATCATGGATAATTATCATTTCTATTGAGTGTTAAATTTGGACAATTCAACAAAATGTATGTATGATTATTGTCAGGAACTGAGCGTGCCACAAGAGTCAATTGCATGCGTTCAGCCATATGTGACACATTTCCAGAACCAAATCGTCGTTTGTTACAGAGGTTCTTGTTACCTATTATTAATTTATCACCATTTAGTGCTTCTCACATACCACTTTCTATTATCATATTTGTTAAGTTTTTGATTTTCTAGCTCAAAACTTTGAATTTCCAGCCGAGCTCTATGCACTAGAGATACTTAGCCACATGTTTGTATATCTATTCTATTTCAGTGTCATTAGATTTGCAATTGTAATCGAAAGAGATTTGGAGAAGAGCTTCTTATCATTTACTAAAAGCATTCGATAGTATACATATGATGAGTATCCCTAGAAATTAGGTATACTAATAATAAATACAAGGAAAGACAACTTTGGCCTAGTAAATACAGATTCTATAAAACTTTCCATCAGGCTGTTTGGATTATAGATGTTTATCATGACCGATTTGTTACAAAAGTAATCAAATCGAGCTCTATTTTTAATGCCTTTGTGGACAAATCAACTAATTGCTCACTTGACTCACGTAGCCAATGTAAATAAAGTTTTCTTGAATCTTTTCAAGAATGTAATGGCAGTCAACCTCAATATGTTCAGTTCTTTCATGATACACAAGCTTTGAGGCTATTAACTTTATTATCACACCAAAGTTTGTTGGAGTAGGATGCTTCAACCCCATTTGGATGATCTAAATTAAAAAATTTGCTTCTCCATGATATCAAGTTCCAACCAATAGAGATACAAATATCCTTTAGTAAATATTTTATTATTTTTGGATTCAGTCCAACTTGTATATGCAGAACAGTCAAGTAATTGAATTTGTTTAAGAGCGGCATGATGTTTGACTGTAGGTGCATACATAAACTGACTAATGCCACTTACTGTAAAAGCAATATCTGGACATCATAGTGAGATAATTTAATCTGCCAATAATTAACCTCCTGTATCCCGGGATCATCAAATGGCTCACTATCATCTTTTATAAGGTGCACGTTAGGAATTATTGTATTAGTCCTTGACTCTGTAATGAGAAAAAAGATTGCCTATCTATATATGTATTTCTCCCAAAAAAGAAGTTTTCTAAAATTATTTTTGCTTTCGTAGATCAATGTATGAGTTGCAATTCTCACGTGCTATTTTTACCTGTGTTGATCAGGATTCTTATGATGATGCAAACTGTGGTATCGCACAAAATTGAGAATAGAATGAGCACACCAGCAGTGGCAGCTTGCATGGCTCCTTTACTTCTTCGGCCACTTCTAGATGGGGAATGTGAGATAGAAAGTGATTTTGAAATGGGCAATGATGGCTCTGTTCAACTTATACAGGCAGCTGCAGCAGCCAACCATGCTCAAGCTATAGTTATCACATTACTAGAGGACTATGATAAATTGTTTGCGGTATGGTTTATTTTAACTTCATTTTGATTAACTCTTTATAATGCCATTAAATATTTCTGCTCCTGATTGTCAATTTGTCTATGCAGATTGATCATCATATCTTGTAGAAAATTAGAAACATAAAAGATTTTCTTTAGAAGCTAATTATAACTCTTATCAGATTATCAAGTTCAATTCGCTAATCCACATGTTGAAAACTATTAAACTTCTCCACAAGGTCAAAAGAACAAAAGAGAACTTAAAAATAATGAAAGATAAGAACTGCAAAGCAATGAAGAATAAGATAGAAGAGAGAACTTTAGTCGAAAGTAAAATATTATTTCACTGCAGAAGACTTACATAACTAATAAAAAACTAACTTCATGGACCTATATATCATCAACAAAGCTGCTGAAGATAAACAAACTCCTAAAGACAAGGTAAAGAAGTTATTTGAGAAAAACTAAAGCTAATTTACTACAGTAAATAAATAAAGGGATGCAGTCCTAAAACATAGCAACTAACAGAGGTGCTCCTTATATAAGACTCTTAGATTATGTATAATATGGTAGCCGGTAGGTACTCAATTCCTTTACTAATGAGGTAAGTCAATATTTTATTTTTCAAATATATAACATCTGAAGGTGATAAGTTAATATATTAAGATAGTGATGCGACACACCAAATAAGTCGTTGCAAGATTTTTTGTTGTCACCTAACAATGAATTAATTGTACTATATGATACAATAAAATTTAAGCATCAATCAAAGCACATATTTTATTTAAATTAACAATACAATACATTACAACATGTAACAACCATCCAAACAAGGAACTAATTACAATAAAAATTTAACATACTTATCGATATCACTGTCTATGAAAAATTATAATGATATTTACTAGAATATCTTTCGTACTATATTTACATCCATTGATTTTTTTAATAAAAACAAAAGATCGTACTATTGTACGTGCAATACTGATAAAGATTTATGCTCCTAGATGTTTTGATGATCTCCTCACAAGGGCAGGGACCTGGTCCTCTGTAGAGTATGAATACTCGTCCAGCTGTCAAATTGATGTACAGCTGTAAAAGCTGTCCGCGTCAAAAAGTTGGTGAAGGACCAGAGTACTTCACCAATCAGAAACGACGAGGTTGTTTGTACATTGGATAATAATTCTTCTTGTCTAATTTATTCAACTCACAAACAACAAGTCAATTATTCATTCAAAGAGAGATACTTTCAAGCTTCAAAACAGCAAGGTACCTGATAGAAGTGCTTCTATTTGCTTTCAGTACCAGCTGCATTTGTTTGCTAGTAATAGTGCTTATATTGTAAGATTCGTTTCACTTGTGACAGAAATGTTTGAAACTTATATGAATCATTGTATGAACTAGGTTAAGGGTAACTTAGTTTCTTACTCTAAAGTCTATACTAATCGGTTAGGATTAGTATAGTGGGCAGTGTTGTATATGCTCTGGCTTAGCTAAGTAATAGGAGGTATTGCTTAGAGTTGGGATTAGTAGGCTAATCTCAGTTTGTAAACTGTCTTTTACTTTTGCTTGAGAAGATTAGTGAAAGCAATTTGAAAAGTCCTGGCAGGCCAGGTCGTGGTTTTACTCCCTTGAGCAAGGAGGTTTCCACGTAAAGTTGATTGTCAATCTTTACTTCCAGCATTTGTTCTTTACTGTTTATTTTTGTAATTGTGTTTAGGACCTGGTCCCATTTACATAGGTCAACGCATACATTCCAACAAGTGGTATCAGAGCTTGACTTTTCAGTTTGGTTAACACCAAGAAAAGAAAAGATCTTGAAGGAATGACTACTCCACCCAACATGGAGGAAGGACAATCTTCTACCAGGCCACCTCGTTTCAATGGCCAACACTATGGATGGTGGAAGAATCGAATGCACGATTACATCAACGATGAGGACTCTGAGTTGTGGGATATTATCCTTGATGGACCATATATTCCTACTAAGGAGGTGAAGGATGGAGAGCTTACCAATACTGTTGTCAAAACCAGAAAAGACTACAATGAGGCAGACATGAGAAGGATTGAAAAGAACTACAAGGCAAAAAAGATTCTGGTATGTGGAATTGGAGCAGATGAATACAACAAAATATCCGCTTGTGAGACTGCCAAAGAAATTTGGGACTGTCTTCAAACAGCCCATGAAGGAACCCAGTGAGTGAAAGAGTCCAAGGTTGATATGCTCACCACTCAGTACGAAAATTTCAGCATGAAGGAAGGGGAAACCATCTTTGAAATGAACTCAAGATTCACCTCTATCACCAATGAGCTGAGAGGCCTGGGTGAGCCTATTCCTGTCAGCAAGAAAATTCACAAGATCCTTAAAGTGCTTCCTAAATCTTGGGAAAGCAAGGTGGATGCCATAACAGAAGCCAAAGATCTAACGACTCTTTCCATGGATGAACTAATTGGGAATCTTCAGACCTACGAGATGAACAAGAAGCAGGGGATGACTTTGAAGGATGGAACGAAGGAGAAGTCCATTGCTTTGAAAACATCTCAAAGTGAGGTGACTGAGGAGGAGGATGAGATGGCTATGCCACTAGAAGATTTCAAAAGATCATAAAGAAGCATGGGGGTTTCCAAAAGAAAGCCTCTACTAGTAGAACTGCTACTGCAAATGATCTGTGCCATAAATGTGGGAAGCCTGGTCACTTTATGAGGAATGCCCCAGTCAAAGGCAGGAAACTCATGACTTCAAACCTCGCAAGAGGGACATGGTCCCAAACAATGTTCAGAAGAAGGCTCATGCTGATCAGTTGGTGAGAAAAGCCTTTACTGTTTGGGGAGATGATTCAAGTGAGTCAGAAGAAGATGCAGAAAGCCATGTAGATGTATCAATGATGGCCATTGAAGATGATGAAAATGTTTTCAACTCCATTTTCTCCATGATGGCTAAGTCAATGATGAGGAAGATCCAGATGAGGTAACCCTCTTTGATCTTAAGGATGATTTAGAAAATTTTCATTTTGAAAAATTGAGGAAACTTGCTGCCCTACTTATTGATTCCGTTGATGAACGAACCACTAAAACTTAATGTTAAATGAAAAATTGAATGTGTGTGAGGATGAGAATTCAACTCTCATGTCTTAAGTTTCTAAAATGAGCTTAAGGATAGGTACTATAGAGACTAGCAATATAGCTCCGAAGGAGGATCCTGGTACTTCAGAGAGTGGAAAGAGAAAGCTTAGCATCTTTGAGGAAGAATTGGAAGAAAAGCTTAAAATTTTGGAGTCTAAGCTAGTTGCTTCTCTTGAAACTAATTCCCAACTGAGAAAGGATCTGAGTAGGATCAAAGAGGATCTAAGCCACTCTCTAAGGTGGAATGATTCCTCTAAGATACTCTCTAACCTGTCTAATCATGGTTTCAATGGAAAGAAAGGGATGGGATGCAGACCAATAGAACCTCCCTATAATCCTTACAACAAATATGTGTCTGTATCTGACAATCTATTGTCCACTCACTGTGGGCGTAATGGTCATCTAAAAGAAAAGTGTGAGAGTCTGATAAGAGCAAAAGAAAAGCATGTGAAATTTGTCAGATCTGAAAATAATGATAAAAGGGAACACAAGGGACCTGGTCCCCATTATCGTTTCAACAAGAACAGTTTGCCCTCCTGGATAAGAAGGTTTCATATTAAGACTTTTGATAGTTATTGGGAACTCCGTTTGAAGTGGGTTCCTAAATCTAACAAGTGATTCTTATGCAGAAGAAATGAAGGAGTCAGTGCTGGTACATGGACAGTGGATGTTGCACATGATTGGAGACACTTCGAACTTCCTCTCTTTGAAAGAACACTAAGGTGGTGGTTTAAAGAAGGGCTCTATCCTTGGTATTGGCAGGATAGGGAGATGAAACGGTTTGACAGTAAATGGAGGGAAGTAGAATGATTTAAAATTTGGGGGATTTTAAATAGGAGGGATCCGGGTCGGGTCAGGCAGCATTAGGGTTTTGGACCCACGAGACCCCGTCTACAGTCCGTGGGTCGATCTATGGTCCGTAGATTGGGACCGTAGACCACTCTTACACTTGGAAAAGTTTAGGGGCTTACTGGGATCTACGGACACCATCCACGGTCTGTGGATGTATCGACGGACCGTCGATGGGGTCCATAGACCTTTGCACCAGACCATTTTCTGCAGATTGTTTTATAGCGTACCTGCATATGTAGCAACCATTAGGCTATTCTTTTTACATTTTCTGGACACTTTTTAGACTACAGACCCTATGCTAATTCTAGCCAACACTAAAAAAACTAAAATATCTATCTAAATTAATACAGAGAATCAATTAAACACAGAAAACTGCTAGATGGAAAACAAAAACCTATCGTTGGCTAGATTGTACATATTGGGTTGCCTCCCAAGCAGCGCTTGATTTAACGTTGCGGCACGACGCATGCCTCTTGATCACTCAGACTTTATCAAGATGATAGGCCTTCACAACTTCTTGCACACTTTATGTGTTTCCCAGATAGATCTTGATCCTTTGCCCGTTAACCATGAACCTTGTTCCATCACTGTTCTCAAGCTCAACCGCTCCATAGGAGAGCACTTTTGTGAGCAAAAATGGCCCGGTCCATTTGGATTTGAGTTTCCCCGGAAACAAGCGCGACCTAGAGTTGAATAGAAGCACAAGATCACCAACCACAAATTCTCGCTTTTCAATTCTTTGATCATGATACCGTTTCATCTT